GAATAAACTTGCGCTTGTATATAACACCATATATAGAGTACGTGTAATTCATATTTTTGCAATGAGTCATGCCGCTATTATAGGACATGCAGTTTCTGTATGGTTGAATGAAGATGATGTGATATCACTGTGAATTACGTCGCTCTGAAATTCTAGCTTATTTCATCACTGTAACTGTTTATCTTAGAAATGTTCTAAAATATTAGATTTAGGTCTTAGAATGAGTAGGCCTATGTCGCGATATGATATTGTGTTTTTTTGTAGTTTTTGTTTTCACAGGCGCGCAACTACAGTACTGCGTAGGTGTGAGGCTTTAAATCAAAGTTTGAAAAAATCACTAACCTTATACTGTTTTATTTGTGGGATATGAATAGGCCCCCCAAACTAATACCAACTAGACCAAGCAGATGCCATTTGGCTTTGCTTTAAATTTAAGCTTTATTACTGGGGAAAGAGAAAGATATTTATTGTCAATGTTAAAATATTCTTAACTGTTAAGAATATTTTAACATTGACAAACGACATTGTATTAAAACAAAACGTGCATAGCAACTGTTTTCGCGTCAAACATACATGCACGCAAAAATACTAACGCGAGTCCAAGCTCAAACTGGACAGGTTAACCGTAGAGTACTTTGTTTTAGTTTTTGATAATTACTTTGAAATTTTCCGTATACCACTCGAAAAGTGAAAGTAATTGCTTTAGTAATTCTTACTATTTAGGCCTATGACTATAATTTTCAAAATTTTGGGTTTTCACAAACAAGTGCAGCGTAGCGTATCTGTAGGTGTGAGTTTTAAATCAAATTTTGACAACATCGCAGTTACTGCTTTATATGGGAGATATGAATAGGCCCTCAAAATTAATACTGAACAACTAGACCAAGCATTAAACTGCATGTATAGGACTTGATCTATAGTGTTGGAATACTATTGAATATTGTATAGATGTATTGTAGTGACAAATCAAACCCATGCACTAAGTCTAAGCTGGACCTTTTCATATGGGGAAAAGTTATCCCGGTTAGCGAGAAAACATTTTGACTAGCCAAATAATTTTGTAATTCGGTAATTAGGCCTATGACTATAATTTTCAAAATTTTGGGTTTTCACAAACAAGTGCAGCGTAGCGTATCTGTAGGTGTGAGATTTAAATCAAATTTTGACAACATCGCAGTTACTGCTTTATATGGGGGATATGAATAGGCCCTCAAAATTAATACTGAACAACTAAACCAAGCATTAAACTGCATGTATAAGACTTGATCTATAGTGTTGGAATACTATTGAATATTGTATCGATGTATTGTAGTGACAAATCAAACCCATGCACTAAGTCTAAGCTGGACCTTTTCATATGGGGAAAAGTTATCCCGGTTAGCGAGAAAACATTTTGACTAGCCAAATAATTTTGTAATTCGGTAATTAGGCCTATGACTATAATTTTCAAAATTTTGGGTTTTCACAAACAAGTGCAGCGTAGCGTATCTGTAGGTGTGAGATTTAAATCAAATTTTGACAACATCGCAGTTACTGCTTTATATGGGGGATATGAATAGGCCCTCAAAATTAATACTGAACAACTAAACCAAGCATTAAACTGCATGTATAAGACTTGATCTATAGTGTTGGAATACTATTGAATATTGTATCGATGTATTGTAGTGACAAATCAAACCCATGCACTAAGTCTAAGCTGGACCTTTTCATATGGGGAAAAGTTATCCCGGTTAGCGAGAAAACATTTTGACTAGCCAAATAATTTTGTCCCGTACCATTATATTGAGCTTTCGACTCGGTACTTCGAGCTTTCTTCAGGATCCTGAAATTCATAATAATAATAATAATAATAATAATAATAATAATAATAATAATAATAATATATATATATATATATATATATATATATATATATATATATATATATATATATATATATATATATATATATATATATATATATATATATATACTTTCCGATATGCAAACTGACTAGAACTTAATGATTGTTCAACAATAACACGAGTATACGTATATGTGTTATACACATGGTAAATATGTGCCTGCGATATATATATATATATATAGCTTAAGATTTTGGTTTACGAAACACAAACAGTGCTCAATACCATATAGATAGAGCGTAATATAGTTTTTCGTTTTATCTCAAAAAACCACAACAGTCTGTTTCATCCGTATAGGAATCATCAGGTGGTGATTCCTATACGGATGAAACAGACTGTTGTGGTTTTTTGAGGTAAAACGAAAATATATATATATATATATATATATATATATATATATATATATATATCACTAAAAAAATACTTACCTACGTTGATTAACATTTATAGAAATTATGAATGCCACGTCTTGATGACTATACAGGGTGTATAAAAAAACGCAATCCTCGACTGAAATGTAAATTGCTAAACAAATAATAGACAAAAACGTTAAAGTTTATGTTCATTTTAAAGCGTAGCCATTCAGGTTTCTAACAGTGGGTTGTTTCTTAAATTTGACTCATTGGTTCGCGGGTAATAATACTTTACGTTATTGCGATTGGAGATTAAAAAAATTGAGATGGAATAACAAATCGTTCTCATGAAAATAACTGTATGTTTTTTCATTAAAACAAAAAAATGTTGCATTTTATTAAATGGATTGTAACAATAAGTATAATTACGGCTTTTCTTCCACTATTTTTAACTCAGATTGAAACTTCAAATGCGGAGCAATTTATTTTTAGGATGTGGTGGCTTTGAGTCAATATCAGACATTAGGTCATTAAGCTTATTTATTTATTTATAAACTTTTCCACCAAAAATTTATACAACGACAACGGCGCAGGTACATCAACACAGCGTCAGCCAATTACGTTGATGCCCTGGTTCTACAGACAGTACTAACAATAAATCCACTCGAACTCGAAACGTACACAACACATCTATCTATTTACATATAATTACAGCTCAAAGTCCACATTAGCAATCAAGGCTAGTCCTAGAAACAACAGTTTTTGAACGTTTTTAATGATCTTGCTAGATGGCACTTGGGACATATTGTTTTCCATGACTTGGGGTGATCTTTGTCGAAGGTGGTCTTGGTGGCAGTAAGGTAATATTGGGAGAGGAGGGATTTAAATCGATGGTATGAAATCTCTGGTAGACGTAACTCATCGGGAAGAGTGTTCCATATCCGTGAAGCTCTAACAGCATAACTGTTCTGATAGCAGAGTGTCTTAGTTTTTGGTATATGATATGTCACAAGGGTGGTATTTTGTGACCGTAGGTTCATCCTTAATTTGTTGTTTTGTTCTGGGAGGATATTGAGGTCAGATGAAATAAATCCACGTGTAAGTTTGAATAAAAGGAGAACGTCCATATATTCTTGCCAGTAGCTCAGTGGTAACAAGTTTAAGGCCAACAATCTTGATTTATAGCAAGTGTCAGTTTCAAAAGGTAAAGCCAAGATGAATTTAGTTGCCCTCCTTTGAACATTTTCCAATTCACCACACATGCTTAAGGTTTGTGGGCTCCATACCTGTGACGAATAGGCCAGGTGAGATCGGACTAATGCCAGATATAAACTACGTCTAGTGCTTGCATCTCTAACATGAACTGTCCAACCTTTCAGCATGCCAAGCATACGGTTCGCTTTGGTAATCTTCTCGTAGTTGGGTGGTTAGTTCAGTTTTATGATTATCATTCGACATGTGGAAATCAAAGTAACGTCCTAAATATTGAAATGATTCTCCAATAATAATAATAATAATAACAATAATAATAATAATGGAAACTTTATTACTTTCAATAATATATATATATATATATATAAATATATATATATATATATATATATATATATATATATATATATATATATATATATATATATATATATATATATATATATATATATATACATATGTATACTACAATGATAAACCTCTCTTTACAGGTAGTTTACCAGTGTCTGCTTGAATTAACACTCTACATAATAACAATATTAGTATGACATTAGTTGTGGGTTATCCCATTCTTTGTAACGCTTACAGAATATATAATACGAGGACCTGATACATATGTTAATAATTTTCCGAACATAGTACTTTCTACATTGTTCATCAAACTTTAGATCCTTCAGCATTTCGGTGAAATCTAGCGACGGGTGGCTGAAAACTCCTAATGAGCTAATCAATAAATTTACAAATTTTACTTTTTCATAATTTTTGAGCTGTTCCTTAATCAGATCTTGATATTTTTGTCATTTTCGAGTTGCATTAGTGAGGAGATTAGATTCAAATCCGACGGTAAGTTCAAATATATAAATACATTTGTTTTCAAGTGTTATCAAAAGATCAGGGCGCAATTCATCTCCGGTGAGAACAGATGGACTGATATAGCCAGGAAGGTCAGCATAAAAGTTAAAATGGTTCACAGATTTAAGTATGGATGCTATGAAGTTAAGCACCGAATCATGACGCCACGGGAAACGTCCTTCATTTAGGTAGGTCTTGCATCCAGCGACGACGTGAAGAAGTGATTCTGGATTCAAACAAAACGAACATTCGGATGTTGGTAATATTCCCCATTTCAGAAGGTTTTTGCGAGTCGGAAGAGTGTTATTTATATACCGGATAGTGAAGTTAAATATATTCTTGGGAAGTTTACTCTGAACGGAGGACCATATAGAGTTGAATGAAAGTGTAGAATGTTTAATGATATTGGAGAAAAATGAGCCTTGTGAAATGAGGTGGTGTTGAAGCTTGTCTTCAGGTTGTTTCCTGTTGGTGTTTACTACGTCCTTGGTGTTTTTGTATTTGTCATGTTGTACGTTTTTGTGATTGCTAGTATCCTTCCAAAGGTTATTGATCGCTTTATTTGGGGAGGACTTTGGGGCATTCCGAAAAACAGTTTGGCATTGAAGGAATTTGGTTGAAGGTAGAATGATATTTAATCCAAATTTATTGTGGAGAAGTAGGACGTTACTAAGGGTTGCAGAAATAGGAAATTCAAGCCATTTTCGGATATACGTGGACGCGATACTATCTAGTTTATCGTTAACCCAGGTTTTGCCTGTGTCAGAAACAAAACAGTGAAGTGCCAAGAGATTTTGGAAAGCACATAACGACTGTATAAGAGAATTTTGTTTTTCGGATGTAATGGTAGATCATCAATTTCATTCAGGATATAAGTAAGTGTGTCATATACTTCAGATTTGTGATCTTCGTCGGACATGTTGAAATCAAAATAGCGACCTACCTAAGTAGCGAAACGATTTACCAAGCTCTACACGTGGTACAAGACAGTTATTTATAAATAGTTTTGGGAGATATTGAATGGATTTGGTTAATTGTTTCCTAATGCCAAATGTTGAACATTTTTCTACACGTATTATCATTTCAGCCCACTGACACCAGCTTGTAAAGCGATTGAGGAGCAATAATAATAATAATAATAATAATAATAATAATAATAATAATAATAATAATAATAATAATAATAATAATAATAATAATAATAATAATAATAATAATAATAATAATAATAATAATAATAATAATGGTAATGATAATAATAATAATAATAATAATAACAATAATAATGAAAACTTTATTTAATTTTTTATGCACTTACAATTGAAAATCTCACTGTTAAAGGTAATTTACAATTGGCTACTTGATACGCTATATATTACTACATTTACATAACACATGGACATAATTATATGATACCAAAAGTAAGAGACTAACTAGAAGTTCATTAACTGGATCTGGATTCGACCAATCCTTGTTTCTATAGAACAGAAAACGTAATATGTCGTTCTTATTGCAATGTTAATTATTTTCCTAATGATATATTTAACACCGGCAGTTTATCTGAGTTCAAATGTTCCAACATTTGTACGAAATGTGAAGATTCTTTTTTAAAAACACCGAGTGCACTGATTGACAGGTTAATGAACTTTACCGGCCGGAATTTTTTCTTTTGTTCTACGATCATTTCTTTATATTTTGAATATTTGCGCTGTATATTATTCCTCAGGTTAGTCTCATATCCAACGGTTAGTTCGAGTACATAAAGACAATTGTCTTTGGTCAAAATTAATAGATCAGGACGATGGTCATCACCAGTAATAATAGAGGGATTAGGGAATGACGGTAAGTCAGCATAAATGGTCTGAATATGTTCTGATGGGAGGTTATTAACAATAAAATTTAGGATTGAGTCGTGTCTCCAAGTAAATCGATCAAGATAGGAACTACAGCCAGCAACAACGTGTAACAGAGATTCAGGTTTAAGGCAAAACGAGCATTCAGAGGACGAGGAGAGTCCCCATTTTTGAAGGTTTTTACGGGTTGGTAATAATAATAATAATAATAATAATAATAATAATGGAAACTTTAATAATTTTGTTATATACTATATATATACAATTGTAAATCTCACTAATTTAAGGTAACTTGCAATTGGCTATTTGGATCACAACTATATGAACTAATAAAAATGATAAGACAGAATAGATGAAAATATATAAATATACAAGACAATCAGATATTTCAAATAGTTAACAAGTCCGGACTTTCTCATTCCTTATTTCGGCAGCAAAAAATATAGTATGTACTTCGAATGGCAATAGTCATCATTTTTCTAACACAGTACGTTTGGTAGTTTTTGTCCAGACCAACATTTCCTAACATTTCTAAGAATGTAGAGCATTCTTGCGCAAAAATACCTAGGCAGCTCATAGAAAGATTTATAAAGTTTAATCCGTTAAAATTTTCGTCTAGTTGTTTTACTAGTTCTTTATATTTGGCTTTTTTCCGATTAACGTTGTTCTCGAGGTTTGTCTCATAGCCAACAGTAAGCTCGACCACATGAAGAGAGCCATTTGATAACGATAGCAACAAATCCTGGCGATACGTATCACCAGTTATTATTGAAGGACTTTTGAATCCAGGCACATCAGCGTAGAGGGCAGAACCGTTCACAGTTAATAATAATGGAAACTTTATTACTTTCAATAATATATATACACACTACAATGATAAACCTCTCTTTACAGGTAGTTTACCAGTGTCTACTTGAATTAACACTCTACATAATAACAATATTAGTATGACATTAGTTGTGGGTTATCCCATTCTTTGTTACGCTTACAGAATATATAATACGAGGACCTGATACATATATTAATAATTTTCCGAACATAGTACTTTCTACATTGTTCATCAAACTTTAGATACTTCACCATTTCGGTGAAATCTAGCGACGGGTGGCTGAAAACTCCTAATGAGGTAATCGATAAATTTACAAATTTCACTTTTTCATAATTTTTGAGCTGTTCGTTAATTAGATCTTGATATTTTTGTCTTTTTCGAGTTGCATTAGTGAGGAGATTAGATTCAAATCCGACGGTAAGTTCAAGTATATAAATACATTTATTTTCAAGTGTTATCAAAAGATCAGGGCGCAATTCATCTCCGGTGATAACAGATGGACTGATATAGCCAGGAAGGTCAGCATAAAGGTTACAATGGTTCACAGATTTAAGTATGGATGCTATGAAGTTAAGCACTGAATCATGACGCCACGTGAAACGTCCTTCATTTAGGTAGGTCTTGCATCCAGCGACGACGTGAAGAAGTGATTCTGGATTCAAACAAAACGAACATTCGGATGTTGGTGATATTTCCCATTTCAGAAGGTTTTTGCGAGTCGGAAGAGTGTTATTTATATACCGGATAGTGAAGTTAAATATATTCTTGGGAAGTTTACTCTGAACGGAGGACCATATAGAGTTGAATGAGAGTGTAGAATGTTTAATGATATTGGAGAAAAATGAGCATTGTAAAATGAGGTGGTGTTGAAGCTTGTCTTCATGTTGTTTCCTGATGGTGTTTAATACGTCCTTGGTGTTTTTGTATTTGTCATATTGTACATTTTTGTGATTGCTAGTATCCTTCCAAAGGTTATTGATCGCTTCATTTCATTTGGCGACGACTTTAGGGCTTTCCGAGAAACAGTTTGGCATTGAAGGAATTTGGTTGAAGGTAGAATGATATTTAATCCAATAATAATAATAATAATAATAATAATAATAATAATAATAATAATAATAATAATAATAATAATAATAATAATAATAATAATAATAATAATAATAATGGAAACTTTATTAAAATTATATACGTATATATACAATTATAAATCTCACTAATTTAGGTAATTTATACTACTTGAACCTACTTAATATTTATATATTAATAATGAGTATCCTTAAATGTTCAGTAATTCCGCATTTAACCAGTCCTTATCTCTGCAACAAAATATATAATATGTTGTCCTAATCGCGATAGACATAATTTTCCTGATAGCGAAATATTGGTGTCTTTTATCAAGACCTAGATCAGTTAACATATCTAAAAAGGAATGACATTCTTTTGAGAAAACGCCTAAAGAACTAATTGACAAATTTACAAATTTTACGGACTTAAATTGTTTCTTTTGCTGTGTAATGAGATCTTCGTATCTTCTTCTTTTCCGATCAACATTTGTTTGTAGATTAGACTCATAGCCAACAGAAAGTTCAAGGATATAGAGACAATCCGAGTTGATAGATAGAAGTAGGTCTGGGCGGAATGTGTCACCAGTTACAATTGATGGGCTTTTATAACCAGGAAGATCGACGAAAAGATTGGAGTTGTTTACAGGTTGTAGCGTTTGTCCTATAAAGTTCAGAACAGAATCATGTCTCCATGTAAATCGTGGGAGGTACGTTTGACATCCAGCAACTACGTGTAAAAGGGTTTCAGGGTTTAAGAAGAAGGATAATAATAATAATGATAATAATAATAATAATAATAATAATAATAATAATAATAATAATAATAATAATAATAATGGTTTATTATAGAGAGTTATTGCAGAAGCAAAGAAAAAAGTAACAAAAAACTGTTACAAAAGCAAAGAAAAGCAAGTGGGAATATGGCAATATAACTTAATAAAATGTCAGAGGTCATCACCACACAAGCGATGAATCCTCAATGTGTCCTGATTTTGACATCTCAACCAAGCAATACAATATTTAGAAATCACTAATTGCGTGCGCAAGACACACTTGAAATGCGCATCAAATAAGAAAAGTATCTGCTGAATATTTGGTTTGAGGGCGTGAATCAATGATGCGTCCGACTATCAAAGAGCAGTCTAACTGTCTACGGAAAAAAGTTGCAGCGCCGCTCGATTCGGGTCATTTTACTAAATGATCCTCATCGGGCGGCGCCTAAGGGAATTTTACTAAACGACCATCGGGTGGGATGTTTTTAATAGCTAATTCGCTTCTTTCTATGCTATTACTTATAAGAAAATTGAAGTGGCGAACTCGTACAAGACTTGACCTAAATTCCTTAGTCCAGAGGTGTCAAGTCTGCGTTCTTTGATATTGAGTCCAAGTGTGATGTGTTCACGTCATGATCAGAGTTATATACCCTCCATTCCGGCCTCGAGTCTTACTACACTGAAACGATATTTTGTTATTTAGGCGACATGATAAAAAATTTGGTCCCAAGAACACTTTGGTTTGTCCTGGTAAATATTGTTGTGTTGGCAATCATTGAAGGATCAAACCCAACTAAGAACCCCTACAACATACCTCCAGAGGAACTATGCACTTTTGATGAACAGCTTGGTACAAATGGTAAGCCTATACACCTTTTCAGATTATTGTCCTGTTGATCTACTATTCAGAGGGTCAGGAGAAGGGGGAGAGGGACGGGTACCCACAACTTCATAATTATAATTAGTAATCTGTTTTTTTATGAAATGTTGCTAGGCCTATATTATCAATTTTCATTTAATTTATAAAACCTTCAAAAATCCTATAACTTAGCTCTGGGCCGTAGTTAGCGCCAAATCCCGGCAGGTACAACTACCATTAGGACTACCTTTAGAAACAGCAACACCAGTTCTTGGCGGCCGGTACAACTACCTTTAGGCGTTACGCTATTGACAATTAATTTTTTGCAAAATCTCTGTTAAATTCTGTCAAACTCTCTTGCCGACACATATGAAACATCATGGTAGACATTATTATAATATCATACTTAGGCCTATATATCTTTCTGGAAAAATCTTTTTATGACTTATTATATACGTATATAAATTTTCGTACAGTACCGGAGTGAAATAAAAATCGTATTTTACGACGGGTGACAATATGATTGGCGGTAAATGACTTTTGTTTCACAAGACAAAAATGATCGTGTTTTGCTTGGTCATTATTCAATTACTAATGGGAAAATTATTGCTCAAATTAGCTCGTCAAATTTAAAAGAACACTTTATCAATGCAGTTTTTAAATCAATGCGCGATATAAGCATTTTGTTCTCAAATTTGAAAACATGGCACTCAAAGCGGTTTTTTATTATAACAAGACGCCTACTCAGGCGTTCACACTGGCCTGAAAATAACGAGATACGTGCTATGGCGCAAAAGGCAGGAATACAAATCTTAAACCGCAAGCAAATTTTATGGACTTTTTAAAAAAATAAAAGATCTTTTCGGGAGAAGTAATGGTGCAAATCTATTACTAGGAGTTATTATCGCAAGGAAAGTGCTGGCCTTTATGGCGTATTAACAGAATGCAAAAATTTATACTTCTAGACAATTCTCGGTTATATCCCCAATGTTTCCTTTTCGTCCATCATTTAAGCCTGTTCACAAACTCATTCTTAAATTGTGTGCACGGAATACGAGTAAATAGCCAACATGAAAATGAATCCATTGGGTCAAAAGTGGATATTAAGGTCTATTACAATACACACTACTTTTGTCTTAACTCTGGCTAACGCCAGACCAATTTACACTGTAACGCCAGACGATTTTACTTGTTAGTGGCAGAGTACTGTCAGTAAATGGGTTAACAAACACATCTGACATTGGTAATCCATTAACAGGCAATGCACCGCTTTAGTATACTTTAGTAACTCTTCAGAATTTGCTCAGAGTCAATGTGAGTAAAATACATCATGTACAAAGTTTCGTTTGAATACGGCGCAGAAGAGTAGGAGTACTAAAATTTTCGTGCAGTACTAAAATTTCCGCACCCAGCGGCCAGCGCTACTAATTCTAGTACTGCGCGGATTTTAATACATGTATTTAAAGGTATATTGTCGACATTTGACTAAAAATATCGTAAGGAATTAAGTACACAAGGGATGTTATGAGTCCACAACGTATATTTATAGTCAAACCTTTAACTTGTCCTTGTTTAAATATCCTTCTATATATTGTGTAAATTCGCTGGGTCCAAATTTTGTGGTTTTCGAGTCGTTACACAAAGAAAAACACATTAATTCAACACGCAAGAAAGTCCAGAGTTCGACACAACGTAAATTCCATAGGAAACCGGCACAATTCTTTTGAAAATTCAACGAAACTGTGTAAAATATAGTTTGATCACTCTGTGAAAAGTCGCCATTGGAGTTCGGAATTGTGCGCGTGCGTACAAGTGTATGGGCTAATAAACACAAAATGTACCACAAGCATGGCATGAGTCGGCTATTACGTACATAAATACCGAACTTATTACTATATTGTCTAAATCATGGAACCGAGAGAATCGATGGCATTTTGGCTTAATCGTTGCACCATGAGCCTGCGATGAGCTAACGCAAACTCGATTTCTCGACTACGAAAAAAAAACAGAAAAAGGGGGATTTAAGACACTTGGCCCTACAGGCCAGTGTAATTAGGCTATCTTATGATAAAAAAATATTATGAAAAAAGGTTTACTTGGTATTTAACTAACAAAAACGAACGCAGTGATAAACGGTAAGAAATGAGGGACAGTCAATGAAATGGCTCAAAAATTTGCTAAATTTCGGGCGTCAGTATAATACAGCCAGACATTACAAGGCATATCAAGCGAACTTCACAGTTAATTTTATATCAGTTAGAGACTTTGGCCACTATTTCCTTATTAACTGCAATCTTTTAATGAATTAAACACAATGTAGTTTCTAAATCCATAACTACAAAAATACATATCAAATTATAGTGAATTTAACGCGATTTAAATTTGACTTTGGCGCGATTTTTCCCTATATAAGCAACAATCAGCGGCTGTACATACCAATGTTTTCAAAATGGTTGACAAGAACCCGAGAATTATTACTATAATCCTACAAATGCGATGCGCATATCAAAACAAAATACAATGTTCAAAGTGTTTACGTCTAAAAATGTACAAAATACTTCGATGAGTATTCCCGGAAACTCTTGCCGTGTCACGATTTTCCATTATTCTGGCCGAATAACTCAATTTTACTGTATTCGCAGTGTAATTTCGCAATGTAAACTTTATTAAGTACAGTAAAATCTAAATTTACATATTTTTATCTGCAGAATGCCCAAGCTTGGGAGAATGTGAATGTGTTGAAAAGAGAGCTTTTGAAATGCGTAGTCGAGAATTTGAGGGAAACATAATAAAACATAAAGGTAACTTAAACAAAACAATTTATGAGAATACCAGTTATATACATTTAACGTATTATTTCTTGTTTAGCTAGGCATATGCTTCTATAAATATGAACCTCTCCTCTCAATATCCTCCACCTTTCTTTTAAGATGGGCCTCGGGACGTTATTTTGAACGTTGAAACTACACGCAAAACTCATGTATATAGTTATTCCAAGTGATGCATGTTCGGTCGTTTTCTCAACGCAAGTTACCGCTTTGTAACAGCTGTAACAAGTTTCCACCCATTTTAACACTTGCATGTAAGTTTTGTTGAAAACAAGAAAATATGAGAAATTGGAATTTTCTATGCTGCAGTTTCATAGACGTATTAATCCTTGTAAATAGATTTAATTAAATGAATACAACCCATTCATTATTTGGTTTTACTTGAACTTGTTTATTGTAATTGTAGGTATTAATTATTTTCATTCTAGATTTAGCTGCCGAATCTCCCTGCGAGCATCGTATACGTAGGGATATTATGACCTTGTCCAGAGAAGAAGACGTCGATACATCCATGCAGTAAAAGCTATTAGAACTGATCCACGTACTAGCAAACGGTTTTATGATTTTGGGCATTTGCATGTCGATTATTTTTGCAAAGTCCTTCATTGTAAAGTTTTCTTTCTTCCTTGGCACCGTTGGTTTATTTTACAATATGAAAATTTTCTTAGAGAAATCGAGCCTAATGTTACTTTAGTTTACTGGGATTGGAGCATGGTAATGGTAAATCCATTTGATGTTAATCTTTGGGATGACAATGAATGGTTGTTTGGCGGAGATGGAGATGGCGTTAATCATACAGTAATCACTGGTGCATTTAAAGAACCTGAATGGCAAATGGTTCCTTCATATGGCCCAGATGCTGCCTTACAATTAAGACGATATTTAAATTACACGTACCCTGGACCAGGTATGTCAAGCGCTTTACATCTTGCAATTTTGCTGAAACTAAAGCCTCGCGAGTTTCAAGACTGGCTAACCATTTTTCAAAGTTGGCACGATAATGTTCACAACAAAGCTTTTGGGTGGAAGAGTACAATGACCAATACATATTCAGCCTGGACACCAGAGTTCTTTTTGCATCATGCATTTCTCGACAAATATTGGTCTGAGTGGCAAGCACAAGGCTATGATTATAAATATAGTTCGTTCTTTATGAAGCAGACGCGGTATATGCAGGGGACTCACTATTTACCCAGAGATCTCGTGGATCTGAAATACCAAGAAGGAAACGTATGTGTAACATATCAGAAATCTCCAAACGACTGGATACACAAAATGCTCAGAAGTACGTACTCAACTATTTGTTGTACAAAGTATTGTTATTTATTTTTTTGTAAATCAGCAGCGGGCGGAATCCTAGCGTTTTCTGCAATCTGATTGGCTGCAGCAGCGGGCGAAATTTTACGATATTTGTCCACGGTCCGGAATCGGGAATCCTATAGGTAATGGCCGAAGCAAAGCAAATATTTTTTGTATGTTTGTTTTAAAACTGAAAAATATGAATATGTAATTTTGAAATAATTTTAATAATTGATAAAATAATTGTACTGTATTTCAATTGAATTGTTTGTTTTCCAAAGTAAAATAATTGAATTTTGACTTTGAGTATTTTACAGAATTGTGAACTTGGACAATTTTTCGCATGCAAAAATATGCTTTACTTCAATGTCACAATTCGCACTTAGCTTTGCTGCATGGATTCGGATAAAATGACTATAATATAATAAATCTACTATGCTTCAACTTCGGTGAAATGCAATAAAATCGGCTATTGAAAAGATGCGATTTGAGAGATCTTGTAAAATGCACTTGAAGAGTCAAAAAGGTCGTCGCGAAATAGCCGACGAACTCACAGGTTGACAGGATAAAAATAAACCACACATTGGAATCGTCACAAAATGCTCTCTATTTTAGATATATGCATCTTAATGAACTAAGCAACAGAATAGTAAAAGTTTCACAAACTCTTGAGGGGAAAACCATCGCTTACTAGCATCAGTAGCGTGATTGTTTTAGCATTTGTCGCCACGTTACAACTTAAGTCCTTGTCACACTATTGCGTATGAGAGAAACGTATGAGAAGCGTATGAAAATGAATGAAATAATTTTCATACGCACGAGAATCCTTTGAAATGCCCGCGTATGAGTACCGTACATCTGGCGTATTCAGCGTGTGCCTATAGAGTATGCTTATCGTATAAAGCATACGTCCGATACGCACAAAATTTTTGAGCATGCTTAAAAAAAAATTCTGCCTCGCCGTATGCCAGCGTAGTGATATTTTTCATACGCAGGCACGCTAGTACGATACGCAATAGTGTGACAGGGCCTTTAAATGCCGACTTTGCATGATATTAGATCAGCTGTCACATTACAAACAGTTTTCCTTTCTAATATTCCAATAAATAGTCACAATTTAGCAATTTACCTTTAGTATTTGTACTTTATTTGAACCAGACTAAATACTGCAGACAAATCACTGTATTATAATAATCTGTTTTACATGCATATTCCCACGAATTTTGGTCTACAATATAAACGTCGCTTTCTAAACAATTAATCAGGTGAAGTATATCGTGTTATGCACAGAAACCCAATCTTCGAACAGTTGAAATTAGATCCCTTAGGGACAGCTCATTTTTTATTATACCGGGGCATTGAGGAAAAACTGGGCGGCCTTCAAATTTTTTAAAACCTGAAAAGGGGGGCTTTGAAAAAATACAGAGAGACGAAAGAATGGGTGCTTTAAAAAGATTTACCAGTTTGAAAAAAAAGATTAGTAGTAAGTTTTAAAAATGTATCACCAGGGACGCCGGAACGATAAAAAGGCAAAGGGGGGCAGACCAAAGGGCACTTCTATAGATCAAAAGTTCGAAATTTACCTGAATTTTTTTTTACATGAAATTTTTTTTCGGTCAGTGTACCATTTTAGGGGTCAAAAATTTTTTCCGGAAATACCAAAATTTTTCGTGACGTAAATAAATCTTAACGGACTTCAGCAATTTTCTCCATTTATGGAAAAATTTTTTCTAAAACCTAAAAATTTTCTAATTTACCTCATTCTTTTCCAAATTCACCCTTATTTTTGTAAACTAGCTTTTTCTGGGCCTATAAATTACCTGAATCTCATGATTTTGCCCGAAAAAGCATCACTGGAAATGTGATGTATCAAGTAGTATTTTACAACTGAAAGGCACTTCTGCCCCCCCCCCCTTGCACCCCCTAGCAAAAGGCAAGAGGGGCAGTTGTCCCTCCAGCCCCCCCCAGTTCCGGCGTCCCTGTGTACCACAAAACAACTTAACAACAAACAACAATGTTTATAGACCTTTGATATTTATAAATGGAAGCCAAATAAAAAGTCTCTTATGTTCAGACAATTCCCATTTTTAGACTAATTTTAAAACTAGGCAAAGAGATGCAAATTAAGGCCGGATTTTGGTGAAAATAGTTGGGGAAGTAGAAAAAAATGTTAGGGGAGGTGCAGCGGTCTAGCTCCCAACCCCCATGGAAAGTTAGGGCTTATTGTAGAACGTACAGGCCCATGTCAAAGAGGTAGTGTACATATGTAGCAGTATATTAATGAAGTATGAATGTATGACTCCAATCTTGCCCTAATCATTACAATTGCTACAAAGTTTCTTTCAAAACATTGCTGATTAAAAGGGTACTTGACACAGAAATGAATGGAATCAAATTTGCAGAGAAAACTATCTTACGTCACGAAGTGTAGATCCTAAACAACCATCATATTTTTACTTTGTTCCATCATTGAAACTAATTCCCAAGGGGCAGCATGAGCTCCACCTTCGAATTTACTATATGAGTAAATTTTTAAACACGTCACGCTGGGCACGAAAGGCTGTAAAAACGCCGGGGTTAGCTTGTTGCCGTTACTCTCAGCCAGTGGTTTCTCCTATGGCGCTTCTGTATACTTCATGTAATTTTTCACGTAATAATTCAATATGGCGGAAACATTTGGAGTGGAAGAAGCTGTTGAGTGTATATTTAGGGCAGATGAGTCAGGCGAGGAACAAAAAAGTGATGCAGGCATCGGATGCCGGGAACAAATAAGCAAATCTGAACCAAACGGAAATGGAATAGAAAAAATTCTTAAACGCGGCTTGTGTACTTAAACATGAGTCCCAACTGTGGCTGGCCGCTATCCACAGACGGCTCGCTGGGAGAAGAAGTGTGAGACATCCATATTACGCAGAATTTTATCGCGACATTCCAGTTGACCTTTTTACTGTACTGTCTCACTCCATCAAATTTTCAAACGATCCAAAATTAGGGGAACCAATGTGCTATATTAAAGGAAACAGCAAAGGTGAAGTGGTTTCTTTAACAGACATCCAGTCCCTAATCTATTTGCTAACATTGTTGTCTGGCAAGCAGCAAGAAGATGCGGCCTTTTATTTGAAAAGAACGCTCGCGGGAGCACGAAAAAATCACAAACAAAGGTTTTAGTCTCCCAAGAAAAAGATTTTGGACTTATTTATAGTTACAAGAAAGGGCAGTTGACAATATGTTTTAATTATGGTGAATGGAAC